ACACACACACAAACACACACACACACACACATATATATATATATATATATATATATATATATATATATATAATGTAATGTGTAATATGCCATTCTGGAAGTATTTTCCCTTTTTAATTTTTGTGGTTTTGGACTTGGAGAGCTGTTCTTAATTACCAATCTACTTTCTAATGTTTAAAGAACTGTTCCATTTATCTTTAACATGTTTCTCATTTTTCTCCATCTCAGAGCCTGCAGTATTCCACTCCCACATAACCCTCAGGCAAGTCGCAAATTTACAAAAAGGGCCTCTGAAACTCTCCAAGCTTTTAAGATCAAGTATGCATATGGGAATAAGATCTCTCTTTTTTTTTACCCCTGAATATAGTTTTTGGCTTGGGATAACAGTTTTTCATCTATTCTGTAGATTTTTCTTTTGCTACCTCTACGGGGATTAAATTAAATGTCCAGTGATATGAACGAGGGACATCTTTCTTCCCACATTAGTATTGTTGCTAAAATAATAAAACATCAACTTCCATTTATAAAGCTCTTTAAAAAGATCATTTTAAAAGAAATAGTGAATGTCAGTAAATGAAGTTATGCTTCCATTAATTTATTTAAAAGCAATTCTGATAGAGAGCCATTTAGAGAATAAGAACACAGATGGACAGACAGCTTCATTTGGGGCAGGAAATATTATGCAGCCATTAATAATTTTGAAAGGATGCTATGGGTCTCCTTATAAAGAAACACTCCTGACTCTGATGTTTTCTGCTTGCCACCTCAACCTATTTTACTCTTTTTGATGGCTAGTAGGAATAGCTTCAAAGAAAGTATTCTGTGAGTCAGTGTAGGGTCTAGGCAGGGATGACCGACCTTGGCAACTTTAAGACTTCAACTGCTAGAATTGGTTGGAGATTTCTGGGATATTGCAATCCACAGGTCTTAAAGTTCCAAGGTTGGACACTACTGGTCTAGGGTCAATTGTAAAAAATGAAATTAGAAGCTGCTATTCTGCTTTGAATCAAACCAGCATATTTTGGGTTTTTTAAAAAACCAGGAGTGTTAGGGGACCTGGAAAGAATAATCTCTGGGCATACCTGAGTATATGGACATCCCGTTCCCTGCTTCTGGATTAATATAGGAGAATGTGAGCTAGCATACTGTACTTCAAGTCCCCAGTCTTTTACGGCAGATAAATTTGGAATTTCTCATGTATTATGAGAACTTTCACAAAATGGCTACTACAGAGTTCCACATTAACAAAATTATGCCAAGGAAATATAGACATTTCCCAAGCACTGATTTAATAGAATGTCACTTGGCCAGCCTCTAATCCTTCTCTGTTGGGACATTCCAATAACATGTCCGTGGCACTATTTTAGGAATCCAGCTTCTTGCAAGTTATATCCATTGTCCCTGTTACAAACAACATATCAGTTAGATTTTGCAGAACAATTTTGGTATTCTGAATGACATATGTTTCAGGGATGGCAATCCATCTATTACAGTTCCCTCCCCAGTTATGAGAATATGCCTAGAAAATTATATAACTGATAGGAAGTTAGCTGGCTAATTCTTAGAGCAATTTACATTGTAACAGTCCAACATCTCAGGACAGGTAACATCCCTTCTCATGTCCTTTAGTATGGCAGAAAAGTGCCTCTACCTTACTTGCTGAGTAGAGACCTTCCCTCCAAAGATAACAGGTGCAACTGGTAAGCAAGTTTGTAGAACAAGAACTGCCAGTGAAAAAATCAGCAAAAGTACAAAAGTAGCTTGAAGAAAGCAGTAAGGCCCAGTTTTATGATATTCTGATATTACATAAAAACCTCTATTTTGAAATATGACAACAAAATTTCATAGTAGACAGGCAATAGAGTGAAATTAGGACAGACCATCTTCATTTGATATGCAGATGACAAAATTTCCAGTGTTGTATTGTAACAATTCACTATCCCAAAGGTGTTTTTTCAGGAGGCAATTGGACTTTCTTGTTTTTTCTTTGAAGATGTTTCAATTCTCATCCAAGAAGCTTCTTCAGCTCTGACTGGATGGTGGAGAATGGAAGGATGTATATTTATTGCAGACTTCATTTACATTCTTTTAGAGAGTTGTTAAGGCCATTTAGAGGTTTATCTATGTTCCCAGGATCACCTGAGTGGGAAAAATGTGTGTAGCACCTTCTTGGACGCAGATGTTTTCTGCCCTGTGTACCTTCACTGTTGGAAGACAGGTGCAAGCAGTTGCGGATGAGTCTGTGTTGTCTGCACCTCAAACTGAAGCACAAATGGTTCCTGTAGTCTGCAGTTTTTCTTGAAATCTGTTCAAAGTCCTGCACCATTCGAAGGGTGTTCATCCCAAAGTGCAAAGCTAAATGTCTATGGAGAGTCTCAGTTATCCAAGTCATGGTTGTCCAAAAGATGGGTTTTCTAGAGACAACTGGACTTTCTTGTTTTTATTTTGAAGGTTTTCGCTTCTCATCCAAGAAGTTTCTTCAGCTTTGACTTGAATGTGGGGAATGGAAGGATTTATATTCCTTGCAGACAGCTGGTCATTTGCATTCTTTTAGAGAGTTGTTGAAACTGTAGGAAGTTAGCACCCACCCCTCTCCTAGAAAAAATGAAATATCCTGGGAAATATTGAAAAGGCAGAATATATTTCCCTGGATATGAAATGGGGAAACATGTTTTTAGGCAGGAAACAGACTCACTCTTAATAGCTCCCACCTTTGTTAATGGGCCATTAAAAAGCCTGGGCCAGTCTATTGTACATAACAAAGACCCCTCCCCTTCAGGTCCAGGGTGATGGGATTAAGGCATGATAGTATTAGCCCTTTACCCCATTCACTACATGGTATCTGGAAACTCAAAGTTGGACTCAAAACACAGCCTAGAGAGTTGCCCCTGCATGAGAGTCTAACA